TTTTTTCCCCATTTTCGCTTAAAAAGGCAAGGTTAATCCCTTACATCTGAAATTTTTCAGAAGCATCTTATTTTGCCCAATCCGATTTTCTCCAATTCAGAAACATCTGATTTGCCAAATTTCGCTAAAATATGCAAGGTTCACCCCTAACAATATGAAATATTTCATAAACATCTAACCCCATACAATCTGCAATTTTCCAGAAACATCTGATTTTTCCCGATTTTGCTAAAAATGCAAGGTTAACGCCTTACAATTTGAATTTTTTCATAAACATCTAATTTTGCCCAATTTTACAAAAAAAGCAAGGTTAACCCCTTACAATCTGCAATTTTCCAGAAACATTTGATTTTTTCCCATTTTCGCTTTAAAAAATGCGAGGTTAACCCCTTTCAATTTGAAATTTTTCGTAACATCTAACTTTGCAAAATTTCACTAAAAAAGCAAGGTTAATCCCTTACATCTGAATTTTTTCGGAAACATCTGATTTTGCCTAATTTCGCTAAAATATGCAATGTTCACCCCTTACAATTTGAAATGTTTCATAAACATCTAACCCCATACAATCTTCAATTTTCCAGAAACATCTGATTTTTCCCGATTTTGCTTAAAAAAAAGGGCAAGATTAACCCCTTACAATTTGATTTTTTTCATAAACATCTAAATTTGCCCAATTTTACATCTGGAATTTTTCAGAAGCATCTGATTTTGCCCAATTTTAGTAAAATATGCACCAAATTTAGCTAAAAAAGCAAGGTTAATCCCTTACAATTTTAGATTTTTCATGCAAATCTGATTTTGACAAATTTTGCTAAATATAGAAGGTTCACCCTCACAATCTTCAATTTTCCAGAAACATCTGATTGTGCCCTATTTTGCTAAAAAGGAAAATGCAAGGTTAATCCCTTACAATTTTAGATTTTTCATACGAATCTGATTTTGACACATTTTGCTAAATATAGAAGGTTCACCCTCACAATCTGCAATTTTCCAGTAACATCTGATTGTGCCCTATATTGCTAAAAAGGAAAATGCAAGGTTAACCCCTTACAATGTGAATTTTTTCATAAACATCTAATTTTTGCCAATCTTATTCAAAAAGAAACTTAACCCCTTACAGTCTGCAATTTTCCAGAAACATCAGATTTTTCCCCCAATTTCGCTTAAAAAATGCAAGGTTAACCCCTTATCATTTGAAATTTTTCATAAACATCTAACTTTGCCAAATTTCACTAAAAAAGCAAGGATAATCCCTTACATCTGAAAAAAGTAAGGTTAATTCCTGCCCAATTTTGCTAAAAAAGCAAGGTTAACCCCTTTCAATCTGCAATTTTCCAGAAACATCTGATTTTGCCCTAATTGGGCAAAAATTAACCTCTTACAATTTTTGATTTTTCATACAAATCTAATTTTTCCCAATTTTGCTAAAAATGCAAGATGAACCCCTTACAATCTGACATTTTTCATACACCTGAATTTTGCCCTATTTTGCTAAAAAATGCAAGGTTCACCCCTTTACAATTTGACATTTTTCATAAACATTTAAATTTGCCCAATTTTACTAAAAAAGCAAGGTTAACCCCTTACAATTTGAAATTTTTCATTCACATCTTATTTTGCCAAATATCACTAAAAAAGCAAGGTTAACCCCTTACAATCTGAAATTTTCCAGAAAGATCTGATTTTGCCCAATTTCACTAAAAATACAAGGTTCGCCCCTTACAATTTGAGATTTTTCATATAAATCTGATATTGCCCAGTTATGCTAAAAATGCCAAGTTAACCCCTTGCAATCTTCAATTTACAAGAAACATCTGATTTTTCCCAATTTCGCTTAAAAAAGCAAGGTTAACCCCTATCAATCTGCAATTTTTAAGAAACATCTGATTTTGCCTTAATTTGGCAAGGTTAATCCCTTACAATTTTTGATTTTTCATACAAATCTGATTTTGTCCAATTTTGCTAAAACTGCAAAGTTAACCCCTTACCATCTGAATTTTTCCATAAACACCTGATTTTACCCTATTTTGCTAAAATGCAAGGTTAACCACTGACAATTTGAAATTTTTCATAAACATCTTATTTTGCCAAATTCTACTACAAAAGCAAGGTTAACCCCTTACAATCTGAAATTTTCCAGAAAGATCTGATTTTGCCCAATTTCGCTAAAAAGTGCAAGGTTCACCCCTTACAATTTGAAATGTTTCATAAACATCTAAATTTTACTAAAAATGCAAGGTTAACCCCTTACAAGCTGCAATTTTCCAGAAACATCTGATTTTTCCCAATTTTGCTAAAAATGTAAGGCTAACTCCTTGCAAACTGTTAAATCAATACATGAAGTGTCCCATTTGACTTTTTTAAAACAAATTATTTTTCCAGTTTTTAGGGTAAAGGATTTTTTTCTTTTTCCTTTCTCTTTTGTTGTTGCTATATTGTGCGAATTAACTCATTCGTATGGAATGCTCATAGTCAATCAAAGAATATTTCACACATAGGGGCCTAAATTATATTATTTAAATTTAATAGAGACGCAATGATCGTGCTATCATATACCATTCTATTACTATTGCGAATTACTGTATTGTTTGGAATGCTCACAATTAAAGACACGTTATTTGAAAGATGTATAAATAATATTTATATTACAATGTACATCTTTATTCTTTCCCGGTATAATTTATGGCGTTTCTTACGTCAATTGGCAATCGCGTCATTATATAATGATAGTCAAATTGATCAAACGAAACTCCGTTTTGATTATAGTCAATTATGAAATATTCATTGATTTATGACATACACCTTTGTTTCAATTTTGATACTACCCGTAGACCTGCCGAGCAGCTGTAGATATCAAACTAAACCAAAGTATAAAAGATAGAGGGTAAAAAAAAATCAAAAAGTTATGTGCTAGTCAAGCTTTCAGGGATCGGTCTGAGCCATAACAATGCCCCAGCCGATCCCTTAGTTCTCTTCCGGGGTCTCGGCGTCCCCGACCAATACACACTTCCTTCCCTATCCATCCATATAACCCCGGAGGGCCAGGCACCATGTAAAAGCAAAGAGCTAAGGGAGGAACAGGGCGGCCCCTAAGCCCTGATCCTCCGAGTGGACCACATGCCCTGAACCTGTACGAAGGCGCCAACCTGGAACTCGCGGACAGTCCCAGCAGCAGTGCTTACCGATTAAGCTAAGGTACTGTTGGTACTTTACGACGGGAAATTAAATCTCTTATAGTAAATGATTGAACTAATACGTTAAAAACCAAAAAGACACCAGCGGGATTCGAACCCGGGACCCCGCTAACCGTGGACGACGAATCGTAACCACTCGGCCATTTCGTTACCTTAGAATTTTTCTTAAACTGAGAAAAGTTGTCTTTATAGGTGAGCAAACGCGCCAGGAAGATTACTGGGTCCATTTGCTTTACCTTAATGGGTAAAAACAAGTCGATACAATGAGCCCAGTGTGTTTGGTTTGTTAGGAAGCTGCATAACACAGCCTAATGTGCAAAACAGTCGTGTGCTAGGCGGATCATTACGCAACAATGAACACCGCAATTGTGTATTTTCAAAAGACAGACGCGTAGATTTCTACTCTTTGTATCTGGGCACATATAGATTCTCACCTCCCTCTTCAGCTATTTCGACTTTCTTAAAAAGAAAAATAGAGACTGTCAGCGAATCTCCGGGAGTTGAAATAAGGATCGTCCCCTCGATAGACCTCAGACTCAGTAAAGTTCAACATTGGGCTCTTTTTCAACAGCTGTTTTTGCGGAAACTTTACATCTGGATTTTTTAGAAGCATCTGATTTTGCCCAATTTTAGTAAAATATGCTCCAAATTTTGCTAAAAAAAGGTTAACCCGTTACCATTTTAGATTTTTCATACAAATCTGATTTTGCCAAATTTTACTAAATATACAAGGTACACCTCTTACAATTTAAAAATTTTCATAAACATTTCTTTTTGCCCAATTTTGCTAGAAATACAAGGTTAAGCCCTAACAATCTGCAATTTTCCAGAATCATCTGATTGTGTCCTATTTTGCTAAAAAAAATGCAAGGTTAACCCCTTACAATTTGAATTTTTTTTCATGAACATCTAATTTTTCCCAATCTTATTCAAAAAGCAAGGTTAACCCCTTACAATCTGCAATTTTCTAGAAACATTTGATTTTTTTCCCATTTTCGCTTTAAAAAAATGCGAGGTTAACCCCTGTCAATTTGAAAATTTTCGTAACATCTAACTTTGCAAAATTTCACAAAAAAAGCAAGGTTAATCCCTTACATCTGAAATTTTTCGGAAACATCTGATTTTGCCAAATTTCGCTAAAATATGCAATGTTCACCCCTTACAATTTGAAATGTTTCATAAACATCTAACCCCATACAATCTGCAATTTTCCAGAAACATCTGATTTTCCCCGATTTTGCTAAAAAAAATGCAAGGTAAACCCCTTACAATTTGATTTTTTTTCATTAACCGGACCATTTTTCGGGGGGGGGGGACGTGAATTAAAGGGGCCTAGGTTCGCGTCATCCATCCGCGGTCCGCGCCGTCACCCTGCCTGCGTAAAAGCAAAAGTAAAAATAAAAATGGAAGGGGGGGGGTATACGTGACACCATCTGACAATATATATATATATACAAAAAAGGGACACTCTAAAAAAAAACACCATTTTTTTTAAGAGTGCCCCTTTTTTTACGGGTGCCCTATTTTTCATGACTTTTTGAACGAGTGTATTATTGTCACAAGGGCATTCGTGAAAAGGCACTCGTTACGAAATAATTATTTAATTATTTATTTAATTATTTCTCGCTGGTTTCTGTTCGGAGCAGTAAATTCCAGGCCCCCTGCGCTACTAGCTGTGCACGCGCGCGGGAAAACCCTCAACTGAGGCTAGCTAGGCTTGAATGGTTTTTATTATTAGATGTCTATGGAACGGAATAATAAGGCTGTTTGTTGTGATAACGCCCTCTCTCGTCAAGTGATGGCGTATAATTACGTATCCGAACAACATTACCATACAAACAACGTCTTGACCGTACCGAAGATAAGGTAAGACGAGAAACTCCCAACTTCAGTCATGTCGATCGTGTGTAAGTCATGTAAGTTGTTTTTAAGACCATTTTCTGCTTTGTAACTACCACATTAAGGGTCCAGAGAAAACAACAACGAAGATTATCTGTATTGTCATGATTGTTTATTAACGTAGACTCGTACTTCGTAGTGAGTGGTCGCCAACGCGGCCAAGCTCACTGAGCTTGGGCTGATCAGCTGACATTGGCTGATGACATGGATGAGGCTGTTGTCATGGTTGTGCGCTTTCTTGCAAATCACGCAATCTCATTCTTAAGTTAAGAATGAGCGCTCATTCTTAAGAACGAGCGCACATTCTTAAGAATGAGCACGCAATCTGAAGAATGAGCGCTCATTCTTAAGATTGCGTGGGAATATCACGTGCGCAATTTATGAATTTTGCGCAATCTTAACAAACATTGGCATTGCACGGCATAATTATGTTAATGAAATGTATAGCGGTTAAAGGGGGAAATAATTCATATAACGAGGAAGGAAAATGATCTATGCTTCTATACTCGTATAACTACGATAATTTGAATCAAATTAAACCTGTTATTACGGTAATGCTTTTTTCTGCCCACTATCATGGGAGGTTTTGTAATAACGGAGGAATGGGAACTAGTCTGGGAAGTGCTTTGTTTAGACAAGTAACAAGTCCCTGTATGTATCATATGCATGTCACAGAGAAAACGATGTCCAGAAGCTGCCAAAATTGCTTTTTTTTAACTAAATACAATCCAGCTCTTCGGCATGGTGGGGGTGTGAACAATATCAATTTAAGTGGCAAATAGCAGTAGCGATATGGGATGTCGCAGTATTCATTCTCATTCTTCACATTCTTCATTTTTAGGCCCCCCCCCCCCCCCCCCCCCCCCCCCGCTTTTGTTATCCCCAAAATCAGAATTATTTCCACTACACTATTATTATGTCTCTTATTTTTTCCTGGTCCCCCGAATACGTGTATACATACTTTCATATGCATATGCCCACTCTACTTTTCATCGTTAAATCTTTTCCTAGGTAAGGGACCTTGCGTTGCAACAGTATAATTGTTAAGAATCAGTGAACAAGGATGCAGCTAGACTTGCCAAGCGCAGCTGGTGCTCGGCAGTGACAAGACCGTTATCTTGCGTATTCTTAAGAATGTTCGCTCAATCTGGAAGAGGTTTTTTTTGCGAAGATTGCGCAAGGATCCGGTTGCGCAATCATAAGAATGTGCATCTCACGCAAATCACAAGAAAGCGCACAACAAGCGCAAATCACAAGAAAGCGCACAACAAGCGCAAATCACAAGAAAGCGCACAACAAGCGCAAATCACAAGAAAGCGCACAACAAGCGCAAATCACAAGAAAGCGCACAACAAGGCCATCAGATCAGACTCAGTCAGTCAGCAGCATGGTCGGCTGCATGTGCGAAATAGGTGATCTCGTGCTCAGGACGCGTACCGGACGGGACGCTGTATTTATTTAGCGGAAAATGTACTTCATCACATTCCCCGATCGGAATAGAGATTGCTCACTAACCTTCCCGGGAAAGAATGTTGCAAACTGACGCCACTTTTTTCTAAATATATCTAGGGCCTAAGCGGGCGGGTACGCTAAACATTTTTTTTTTTTTACTGCGCCTAATTAATACAGTCGTTTTCCTAGTTCCGGATTTGTCCTAGTTCCGGATAGCTTAAAATAAAAACCTACCTCTTTTGGATTAGTCTCCAATAATTTTTTTTTGACGATGTTCATTTTGAAAAGGAAAATCCTTGATACACAAAGATTTTTTTTCCGATAAAATGTTTAGAAGAGGAATTTTGGCCAGATTTCCGACTGGCATTTCAACATGTTTGGACGGTTTGTAGAAAAATCGCGGGAGCTGTGAATCGACAAATTTTCTCCTCGGTCCATCACTCGTACTGTATGATTTCGAATATTTTGTTCATACACTACAGTTGTATAAACTCTTCCATTGTCTGCTTGTTGAATCAAAATAAGTTGTAAAGTCTCTAATTTTTTTAAATTCGCCAACGAATGACCGTATGCTTTTGCCTAGTTCCGGATAGCGCGTGCACTTACGACCCAACTATACGCACGTTAATCGATTTTGTGTGACGTATTCTGTGCTGGGTCAAAGATTTTCGGTCCGTGCGTTAAGTTCGGGCTGTTGTTCTGCAGACGAAAGTTTCAAAATCATTTACGTTTTTTTCTCTTAATAAAATTTGCTGGAATTCTCTTGAATGAACTATTTTGGAAAATGAAATAATACTTGATCAGAAACTTTGCTTGATTCGGTTGGTTCTGGCTGAAAAAAAGAAGATTTTCTTGGGTGATTTTGTTTTCGCGTGAAGCAGTTTTAAACGATTCGGTACTGATTGAACCGATCCGGAATTAGGAAAAGTGACATCGGTACTTTTGACGTCATAAAATCAAAATAAAAAGAGCTTAAATATTGAAAATTATTTCCTGTTCTCTCCATCACTCAAGGTAAACTTTTTAATCAATGTCACTTGAATTTGTGGAGTATTGTAGTTTAGCCAAAAGCAGCCTGAATGATGTTAGCTATCCGGAACTAGGAAAACGACTGTAGTACTACTAGTGTGTTTCTTGACAACAATGGGGATATTTTTAGTTTCGTTGCAACAAAATTGGCAATTATTTGTTTTTCTTAATATTGCCCATCATCTGGCCCACATTTTTACATGAAAAAAAAAATTAATTAAAAGAAAAATAAGCAATTTAAATAAACAATAGTGACATTGACATACATGTACCGATAGGGCAATAATAAAATGGCACAAAATTAAGGTCCAGTAAAAGATATAAAATATATACATAAAAAAGTCTAAAATTTTAGGAGAGGAGAAGAGGACGCCCCCCAAAAAAATAATTCATAACTATTATTAGAAATAGAATAGTTGACTCATCCTTATTTAAAAAAAACCCCAACAATTAGGCCTATTATGGAAACCTTTAAATTATAACAACATTACTATTAATGCAAAATAGGTAAGTCAACCAATTTCTGACAGTGTGCTCAGAAACAAATGAGAAAAGGGAAAAATTGACCTTGTTATTAGGCAAAAAAAAAAAGAGTTGTGCTTCTGATTACATGGCGTTTGAAAATAGGGTACATGTAGACCTAAATGTAGGTAGGGAAATGTTTCTTTTTTTCATGTTTTTTTGCATTTTTGTGTGTGCGATAATTCATATGGAGGTGTCTGTGTGTAGTCCAGGGTACTAATTAATAGATGGCTTTTGGAGTTTTTTTCCCTAATTCCCCCCCCCCCCCCCTAATTAGGGTAGGGGCTGTCGAAATACATTGTAGGGTACATGTAGGTATCCGGTAGGGTAAACAGAAGCAGAACTATTGGGTTTTTTTTGCCTTATTACATGTATTAATTATAACGAGGAAAGCATTTTGGATCGTGTTCCCTGCATTTGCCACTCTAAACGGATAACTTTATGGGTGAGCCATGGGAGGTGGATTTCAAAGCAGGTCTTATGCTAATTTTTGCTTTTTAGGCATTCCTGTATTATTCGTGATTGCACTGATAAAAAAAGTACATGTGTAGGCTGATTCACTGGATATGTAGGAAATTACAAGGCCATAGATGAAATGAAGGATAAGGCTCATGTGGACGGATATTTTTGCATCAATACTATAGGCCTATATTCTTGTTATGATTAATCCAGCCCTTTTTCCATTTATATTACTTACAGTTCTGTGTAGAATTGTTATCATTCAACATTCATAAATACCTCAGACAGTTTAGCCATTCCTATTGGTCGAGAGCCCGTCACGTGGCCGGTATTAAACGGACGATAAAGACATGGCTAGCTGGTCTTAAACACTTTTCCAGTGTCACAATAAAATGTGGACTCCTAAAAATCCAGTGCCTCTTATCGTTTCATTGGTTGAACGTTCACAATCCTCACGTAGGCATGCGCAACACTACCAGGGAGTTAGAATTTTATAGTTCTAAATTCAAAACGCAACGCGCCAGGTGCGTTCTGCGCGACATCGCATAGAACATGATACGCGCGCGTCAATCTCCATAAAAGGGTTGTTTTCATCTTACTTGCCAGCTGAACACTCCATTATTTTGCAGGAGGGATGATTCAAAAAGCATAAAGTGAATTTGTTGAACAAAATCGGGATGTTTTGAACGAATTATAAGATTTTTTTTTACCGAAAAGGTATTTATGAATGGGAATAAATATGTACTCCGTCGGTATTTATCACTCTGTTTAATACCACTTAGAGTCTGGGTGCTGATAATTACCCTCGCCTCCGGCTCGGGTAATTATCAGCACCCAGACTCTAAGTGGTATTAAACAGAGTGATAAAAACCTCCGGAGCACACATTTATTCCCTTATTAAAGCAACCTATTTTTATTTATGAAATTAGGATACAACTTGATACAAAGGCCTATTCCTAATATGGACAAAAAATTGACAAATACAAATGTATCTGTCCCTGTTATGAACATGACGTCTTGAAGATGTGTACACCCTATAGTTTAAAAATACCGAGAGGTTTAACCTAAAAGATTGGCAAGTGGCAATCCCTCAATGGATAGGAACAACATTAGAAACAACATTTGGGATAATTCGTGTATTTCATTTACTGCTTCCCAACACTTAAAAATGAAATGTCTGACATGTCCATGTTAAACATACATTGTCAGCCTGGTTATTACTTGGGTCAATTTTGGTCAAGCCCTCCATTGGTTTGTACACAGTATGCCAGGAGGTGAGATACAAACATTTTGACCATTGGTGACCTCTCGCTGTATGAAAAGTGAAATTTACTGTTAATCGGCGAGGGCTCCGTCACGTTTTTTATCACGTACATGTATGTAGGTGATGAACTTGATTACGTTTTAATGTAACGTCCGTAATGTTCAACAAAAACATTGTGTACAATGTACACATGTACATGTATGTATCCAATAACATCAAAGTACCGGTAGGCCTACCTTTTTGCAAAATGCCATTGTGTGTTTGTGTTTTTGTGGAGTGATTACCGTAGCT